GAAGACTAGCCAGAAGACTCTTTTTCGCTAATCCCGCCGGATTAAGTGACGACAAATCAGCGGGGAAGTCCCCTTCAGCAGACGTACTACCACCGGGACTCTCAAAGAGGGCGCTGTTGGAGCTGAAGAGTTCGAAAATGTGATGTTTGCGAACATAGTCGACTAATGCGATGCTAAGCTTGTGCATAGCCGATCGAGATTTGTCGTCCCAAATCGCGCGATACGTTAGCTGTAGCAGCCAAAAAGCCATGAAAGTTTTGCTGTGGTTGTATGAAAGGTCTTGCATTCTGTCGACAAAATATGTGGTGCCCCTTGTGAAGTGAGACTTTGCAGTCCTCAACACCAGATAATCTGAATGGCCCCGAGCGACGGCACCAAGACAAGAAGCCAACAGTAAGTGCATAATTATGGCGTCGTCGTAGGCATGATGAAGCACTATGGCGAGCTTGGACCAGAGAAACGTCTTGGGACTAAGCTTGGAGAATACATTTTCGAAGAAGTAGAGGGCATCCTGTTCCAAGGGACCGAAGAGAATCGAGCATCGGGAGGGTATGTGTCGAGCGTTCAGTATCGATAGATGGGGCGCTACTGCGTTCCTACTCGCATTCGTCATGGTCGCTTGTTCTGCAATATGTGCGGTGCGGTTTAAAACTAGATGAGTCGTAGCCATCGATTCGGTTGCTTCCACTGCTGTCTCTGAGGGACTACTCCCCCAGACGCCAGGACTTTCGTCGCTTGCGGATGTAAAATGGGCGTCATGACTGGCAGTGCTGTGCGACGGGAGGATCGGGGGAGGCACATACTGAAGGCGAGATTTGAGAGAGCCAAATCCACGCCTTCGTTCTCGAAGGGGAACACGGTGTTCGCGCCATTCGCAGTGCCGCTGTAGGCGGCTGCATCGCTGGCATACGGGCCGGTTCTCTGAGCACTTGACCTTGGACCGCACACACGTCACGCATCCGTTGGTCGATCGACTCCATCGTCGGGAAGCTCGGTCGGCCATGTCTTGAAGCATGGCCTATGGTGAAGCGGATGGTGCAGCGGTTGGGATGCCGTCGGACGGTGGATGAGGAGGCAAAGAAACGACGGATGACTTGATACGGAGTTAGTTGGGATCTTGTATTAAACCCCGGCAAACTGTTGATAAGATAAAGGGACGGGAACAATTGGATACATTATGAGCTGAGAAGTGTTATCGCGGACACGTCCATACGCAGGTTCCTTTGATTAATTATCGACGAAAATTCCGCTTAGGTTGGGAGACTGAAGGTGTTTTATCACGACCATGCATTTCTTTCGCTTTTGGCCCTAGTGGCCTGCTACCGTAAAGTCGCATGCCGCTAAGAGAAGCACGTTTTGGTGATGTTTGGGCGCGGGTCGAAGTCACGACGATCGGAATCTCTTATCTCGGCTTCACCCCGATCGGCGCGGATCGCGCACAGGTCCCGATTACTGGCACCGGCGAACCTAGACAAGCTAGACTTTTTGGTATCTTCGGGAGCGATCCGGATCTGCAATGAACATCGTGATACACTCGGCTGGCGCGTTCTCTTGCAAACACCCGGAAAACTGTTCGGAAGGGATCTCAGTCTGCGGCGGCATCGCTCGATGGGGCTGGATTAGGGCGGCCTGCATTACTCTATGATCAGCATTAGAAGCGGATGTAATAAGAAAATTTTCGTTACTCACCTTGCGAAAAACCAGGGTGGTTCGCAGGACGCAGTATTTACCTGACTTTTCGGATACCTGGAACCAGATGAGAAGGCAGAACCTAACCTGGGCAAATGGCTTTTCTTCGTGAGCGGGAACAACAGGCTGGATAGCAATCGCTCTGGAGGCAGAGGCAAGGCGTATTCGACGGTATGCCGAGCGTCGCTCGGATCTTGAGAACTCGAGACGTTACCGAATACTGCGCTTGCAATCGGAGAAGGCAAATTCTGAGACCGTGATGCTTCCGGAAGTCGGGGCATCTGACTTGGACTCGCGTAGGACGGCACTTGCCACGAGAGCTTTCTTACAGGCTGCGTCTCCCGAGTGAGTTCCTCCAGCGCAGCACAGCATGGTCCGCATGCATCTTTGACAACTTCAACATGCACAAGTGTAACGTCATCTGCTGTCTTCTCCACAAGTAGCACAGCAAGCAGAAGGGGCCAGGGATCGAGATGGTGTGCATTGCGCACTCATTACAAGAGTTTCTTTTGCGAACAGAAGAAAACAAACCACATCCATAATCTTAACAGACGTCTTATCACGTTTGTTAATCATAAAGTTGCGTCTTGATTGCGCGCCCCCAATCACAAATCCTGCAGGTTGCCGCGGCGTTTGAGAAGCCATCCCGAAGGAATAGCGCGGGCTGTTTGGTGGAAACGGGCACGCTCCCGCGGGAACCAACATCGACTTGACGCCAAGATCGGAGGATTCCAAGTCAACTGACAGAGATTTCCGATCCGAAAGGATTCCGTGGCTGGGGACGAAGAAAAAGGTCCGATTCTGGCGCAAGCTTTTGGAGCGACGACGCCAACAGGTTGATGAAGAGAATTGGGGCCGACAGACTTGAGCCGTTTGACGTCCCATTCTATAGCTGGATGGTTATACCAACAACGTTTGGGGAAAGAAAGTCTCAAGATATGGCTAGCTGGGTCCCTTCGTGTTTCCAAGTTACGGCTGTTGGTTAAAGATTGCGATGGGCAGGACGCGAACACTTGTGGGGGTTTCCTGACTCGGGCCGTCGCAGAAGGGGGCGGAGACGACGTGGAATTGCCACTCGTTGCGGGATTCGACTTCAAGTGACGCTGAAGACTGTCGTAAGAGTCGCCACAAAAGTGTCGACTGGTCAAACATCCATCCTGCTCATCCGTCTTCCCCGTGCATGCCGCAAAAAGGGGTGACCCTTGAGCGCCTTTCTATGGGAACCTCGGTTGGAGGATCCCGCCCCCGCCGCTGCCTGATCTCAGCCGGTTGTTACGGCTAGCAGCATCATATCATCCATGACAAGCCTTAAGCTTGACGAGAAGGAGATTTCTAGAGCTGGTCTTCGAAGCGGTGAAAAAGAAGACAGACAATGCAAGATGCTGATGCATGCCCTTTGCTGCCGCCGGAACAGTCCGCGAGATTCATCACCTCCGAATTAGGCAATTTCGGTGGCCCACCTTGACGAGATCATAAGTCATGCCGTATGAGTTTCAACGTCCAAGGTCTGGCTGGTCGGAGCTCTGGAGACTAGCTTCATCGGAGGGCCCATCTCGCGTAGCACCAAGGTGAGGCTAACAACAGAGGGCAATTTAGAGTGCTGGACATGTGCGGCCCACGCGTGAAGGTCTCGAAAGTTCGAGGAGAGAAGGAAGAGAGATCAGATGAACCACACGCGCACACAGACTGGTCTAGGCGCCCATCTTCTTAGTTGCACACGCATGACACAAGCCCAACCAAGAAGAATCCCGACACCACGGATTCAACGGCGCGGGAATGCGGGGCCGCGCGGCCCGTGCTGCTTCTTTCAGCTGGCGGCACGGGCAGTACTGGATGCAAGATGAATGTCAGTTGTGTGTGTGTGTTTGCGTGTTTGACTCTACAGGAGAAGCTTTTGTTTCGGGAAGTTTGTCCTCTCTACTCGATCCCGACACTTCCTTTCTCCTCTGAAGCTGAGATGGCCATGTCTCGGTACGAAACACAGTTTCTCATCATCAGAGCGCCTGGTTGCTGTGCGTTCCCACATCCCTTAGCTACCTGGGCCTGGGCTCCACGATCCCACGCAAGCCAGTAGTTTAATGTCTGATTCAGGGGTAAAACGAAAAAGAAAACCGACAACGAGAAGAATCATCACAGCAGCTTTCATTGGCCGCAACCCCGCACGCCGCACAAGCCCATGGGCGCTGACGCCTTATCCCACTCTTTGTGGACAGCAAACAAACAAACCTTGACGCCAGCCTTTCGGAGGTTGGCTTCTAGGGCCTCTGTAACAGGATTAATTAGCGGCAAGGGAAGAGGGTGTCAGAGACTGAAATGAATTGCGGGGCCCGGGCCATAGGCGAGCAACACCATCTTCTGTCAACACTTCATCCAACGAACCCCGGGCGGAACATATTTCATCCCCGGTTGTTCTGGACTCTGTTGAAGGCGTCTTGGGCGTCCCCCGGGATGTCCTGTCAGTCTCCCGGGCCTGGACCGCCCTGCACGGCCCCACGTAGGATCCCTTCCATTTACCGGCAGCGAGACTAAACACTTAAACCACGCAAAGTGACATAATGTAGGGCTATTCCCTTGCCCGTCTTCTCTCGCCCCCGTGGTGAGACATGGGACCTGCTTTAGCCCCCGTCAAGTTGAACCATTCATCTGGACACTGGTCGGAATCCTACCACACAGACATGGCAAACCAAGATTTGACCTCCTGTTCCTCTTCTTTCTCCTCGGCTGCCTGGTCCTCGCCTCGACTGATCCCCCATCCTTGATCCATCCCCCCTCCTCTCGCTTGCACTTGCGAGAAAAAAGAAGCTGCCGTGTTTGTTATTGTTGTTGGCCCATGTGGAGGCCGCTAAGAACCCTCCCCCCTACATGACCCCTCCATCTCTGATTAGCGCTCCAGGGGTATGTGGAAGAGATTCGTAAGGCTTTCTCGGGGCTCCAGAGGAAGAGAGGGCCAATATGGTGAGACGCCGCGTCCGGCTTAATCATTTCGAGGTGGAGGGCTTGCATACGGGAGATCACCGCTCGTCTCATGTTTAATGGCGCAGCGGCAAAATATCCCGACCTCACGAGATTCGCCCTGCCAAACTCGACGAGGTATATATCATGACCTGATCTCGCCCTCAATCACATTCGTCTTTCCTCTCTCCTCACCAAGGTACAATTGTCCTTATCGCGTCTGTCATTCCTTTACACCACCCTTCGGGTTTTATTATCGACGCTCTTTGGCAGGATCCATCCTCCGTTCATTCATTACACAACCAAGCTCTTCAGCTGAATCCCGGTGATTTCACAAACCCCCCAAAACAACCATCAAGATGCGTTTCTCTGCTGTCGTCGTCGCCGCCATGGCCACCAACGCCGCTGCCTGGCAACCCCAGCGCCAGGCCTACGGCTGGAGCTGGAACGGCTTCGGAAACTGGGGCAAGGGCCAGACCTCCGTCTCCGGTTCCATTCAGCCCACCCCCGTCCCGGTCGCCACCACCCCGGCTGCCGTGATCCCCACCGCCGTCCCCACCACCTCCGCCCCCGTCGTTGAGGAGGCCGCCCCGGCTACCACCAGCTCGGCTCCCGCTGCCGCCGCCACCACTGCCGCCTCCTCCGGCAGCCTCACCTCCGACCAGCAGGCGGCCCTCGACGCCCACAACAAGGCCCGCGCCGAGGTCGGCACCCCCGACCTCGTCTGGGACGAGACCCTCGCCGCCAACGCCCAGGAGTGGGCCACCCACCTGACTTCCGTCGGCTCCCTCACCCACTCCCAGGTCTCCGACCAGGGCGAGAACCTGTACATGCAGTCCGGCGGCGACTCCCCCAACCTCAACGCCGTCAACGCCTTCGTCTCCGAGAAGTCTGAGTACAACGGCGAGACCATCAGCTCCACCAACTACATGAGCTTCGGTCACTACACCCAGGTCGTCTGGAAGTCCACCACCAAGGTCGGCATGGCCACCGCTACCGACTCCTCCGGTGCCACCTACGTCGTTGCCCGCTACTCTCCCCCCGGCAACTAGTGAGTTCATCCCATGATTCTTTGAGTTCGTCAACAAATGACTAACACCATCGACAGCATCGGCGAGAAGCCCTACTAAATCAACCACCTTCGACATCACACACGAGAAACGCCACTGGAAGGGCTTTGTTCATGACGGGATCAGACACAACAAGCTTTTGGCAACCGAACTTCTTTCTGGTTAGCTGAAAATGGGCTGGGCCGAACTAGTTTCGACAAACCATGTTACACGATAACTTCTATTCTTGGACATTTTTGTAGATGGGTTGTACGAAATGGGTCGACAACTTTCACACACGCCATGAGGCAGAGCAATCTTGGCCTGAGAAGAAAAGACAAGCCATGACCTGATGAGACACCAATAACACTGCCTTTTGATGTTACATTGAATTATCTGCTCAGTGATGATGGCGTGAGAAAGACATATTCAAGCTATAGAGCAGATTGACCTTCGAATCATGCTCGTTGCATATCTCTGGAGGCGTTTGCGCCCAAGGAGGTAATGCATCACGACAGTCTTGACAGTCGGGATCAAAAACCCTCATTCGTAGTGGCGGGTCTGGCAGTTGCGCCCTTGACACAGGAGCTGTTTGGAAGTCGTAGAACAGCTCCGCCAAGGGCCAGTCTCCTGACTGCCAAGTCCTGTTGTAAGAGTTCATAAAGACTCTGATTCTCCTCTTCCGTGGCGATGTGCCTCTCCACGCCGATATAAAATGGCACGTGTTGAACCACACATTCACGAGGGAGAGGCCGTCGTGTGATTCGCACCCTAACTCGACAGGGCCCCGTATTCCGTAATTGACAGAAACATGCGCATCGTGCACGTGCGGACTCGCAGCGGGATCTGCTCGCAGGTTGTAAGCAGTTTGAGTGCTCACAGACTTAAGGCTCGACAGGGACTCAAAGAATCCCGGGGGTGTCATGAGGCCCGTTTGCAATGGGATGTGTTCAATCGTCCAGAGCAGTTCCAAACTTTTCCGGTCGGGTGGAGAGAGAAAATCGCGTTGATCGTAACACAAATGCCCTGACATCGCGAACATGTCGACCCTGGGACAAGTGTACGCAAATCGCACACGCGCAGCGGAATATATCATGTTGGTATTATTGCGGACACGATCGTAAAATGCGACTCTTGGGAAAAGTTGGTTGACCATGCTGCGTGACTTGCGGTCAAATTGAGAGATGCTGCGGAGGCGGCGAGAACGATTCATCCTCGTAGCATCATGGTCTGGGTATCTTTGTCTGCTGTTACAGCCTTCGTCGTAGTAAAGGAGGAGCTCTTTGGGTAGATGTTGAGTAACGTCGAGCGACCACCAGAATGGCTGTGTGTACAATTCATTTTGGGCAGACTCCAGGAAGGCTTCAATAATCAATAGAATGATTTCGTAGGGGAGAATGTGGCCCTCGTCATTTGTTGGTAACGAGCAACGAGGGCCGGAAGCCGGCATGGAAGATGCATCATCCATCCTTTGTGTGGTAGGGACATTGGCCTGTTGCATGGGATTAGGGTGTAGATATGCAGAACCTCAAAACATGAAGTCGATCAAGGTTGAAGGATATATGTGGCAGCTATCGCTAACATCTACTCTGTGACATTCAACAAGCTATAAGTGGCCTCGTCTCTTTCAGAGGCGCACTGAAGGCGACGGAACTTTCTGGATTTTGAGTACGATCTCAAGTTTCCTGTGGACAAGACCTTCTCATTCAAGGTGCCCTGCTGCGTACGTCTCAGCAGTGAAGACTTCTTAGTCGCCATGTTGAATGAAGTTTTCATCATATTAGACGGATGTTGACCCTTGGAACAGACTTAAAGGAACAGGCATGTGCTTGTAGTGACTGCCACCACCTTTGTACGCAACGCCTCGGATGTCTTCGACAGTGTGCTCGAATAGTCTCAAGTCCCGACTTGCACATTCCTCCCAAGTTCTCAAAAGTTCTTCACGCGACTACCATAGAGAAGGATTCACAGGGGCCAATTGATAAAAATACCCATACTGAGAAGAGGGTAATTTTGGAAGAATGTTTCTGGATGATGCCGTATTGGTCTATCTGCTCAGTGCCAATTATGTGGTACGCAAGTGTCTCTTCCTCCACTGACCCCAACACATCCTAGTGAAAATTCTTCACGCGTTCTTGAATTGCATTATTATGGCAATATCCTGTGGTCGACGGCAAAGACATCGTCTACGACGGGAAATATACCGAGGCTTAATAGCGGTAACTGACGTGCAGAACGTTCGCGCAGGCTGTACCGGGGCAACGCGTCCAAGCAATCATTACAGTCAGCAACAAATTGTCTGGTCCGGAAAGGGAATTCTCCCAAAGTGGGATCGAAAAGGAGCTCATCTGACGGCCAGTGGCCAGGCCACTCGCAGTCCTCATGATAACAGTGGAAGAGCCGAACCCCCTTTTCCCATGCAAATGAGCACTGTCGAATAATCTTCCACCATTCCGTGATCTCGACGATTCTAGAATGGGTCTCGTATACCGCAGGAGGATCTTTGTGTGCGTGAAAGCTGGGATTGGCCGCAGGCGGTCCATAGGGTCCTGGCGGTTGCCATACGAAGCTGACGGTTCGAAGGTTCGGCAGAGCGGAAAGGAAACTGGGGAGGCCAGGATCGGTGCCACACCAGGCGTGGAGCTGGATGTTCTCGATCGCCCGCAGCAGTCCCAAGTTATCGGGAGCGGGCTGGGATAGTGAACGCAGGCTAGGCTTGGTAGTGTACGTAGGTTCCCAGTCATGCTCGAAGATGTCGACGCTGGGACAGACGTGTGCGAATCCCGGGTAGTCGATGTAATCGTGATTGGTCCAATGATCTTTGTACGGGAACTTCGGGAACCGTTGATTGACCTTCTTTTGCGATGCTATGTCGGTTTGTGAAATTCCGCGAAGCAGGCGATGGCGTAACCTGATTTGGCCGCCGTCGCTGTTTAACACCAATCTCGGCGGGAGATACATCTGGCGAGGAAACACCAAGCTATCGGTCCCACACTGCGGTTCGCTCTTGGGACGCCATAAGCCCGGTTTAGCAGAGAATTCGGTATAGGCAAAGTCGAGGAAGGCGTCCACTATGAGCAAATAGATCTCGTATGGGAGCCTGGGGCCCTCCATCTTTGCTGACGGAGATCTATGAAGACTCAGAGAGGAGAGTTCAGATTGGATTAACCATGACGAGAGCGAGACTGTTGGCTACCAAGGAGCGTATTGAGATGATGGAGTTCCAAAGGCGAATCTGATGAAGGTTGAAGCATATATATTGCCCTTGGCCCTGATTTCAAGCCGGACACATTCAGCAAGTCAACTAGCCCCTTCCAGAGACGCAACAAAGGCAACGGAAATTTTCAGATGTCTTCAACACCCATTCTGGTTTCTCCTATTTCTTAAAAGCTATTCAAGGAAAAAGTTTTACGAATCACTTGACAACGAAATTCGGAAGTCCTTTCGCAGGCGATACATGAGCCATGCCACGTCTCATCATCCGTCACAAATACCAGGGCGGTTATTCTAGTGATCTCAAAGAAATAGCAGCTTCCTCCATCAGGCGACTTCTTGACTATGAAACAAGGGGACTTTGAGCATCTGCGATGCTAGTATGTTTCTTCACACAGCCACTGGATTCGATGCGTCGCGCCGTGATGCATTCGAGTGGAGTAGAGGGGAATGCCAGGGACTCTTTCTGCTTGCGTACCTGAGACACACGCGTCCCAAGGGGGGCAACGCATCACGGCAGCCTTGGCAGCCGACAGCGAACCTGAGTATTCGAACTGCGTCTCGTTTGCCAGCACTAGCTGGGAGGTAGAAAAGCTCGGCTAACTGCCAGTCTCTGGAGTACCAGCTGCCGCAGGGATTGACGAAGAGCCTAACTCCTTTTTCCCATATTGACGAAGACTCGCGAATGGCCACCCACTGCGGCGGGCTGAAGACCCGGGCGTGAGGTTCCTGTGCAAAAGATGACTTGCCATGTTCGTGGGGTCCCATCGTGTCGATGGTCTTCGGGAAACTGACGGACTTGAGGCTCGGCATGACACTGAGGGATTCCAGGTCGAAATCTCCGTCCACAAAGTGGACGTGCTCAAGCAGCCGGAGCAAGTCCAAGAATCGAGGCTCAAAATGGGGAATATGAAGGGGGGCACTAAAGAGGAACACGTCGACTTTGGCGCAGACGTGTGTAAATCGATGTGCGTGATAAATGCCGTGCTCGAGGAAGGCGAGTCTAGGGAACCAATGATTAACCATGCGACGTGACCTTAGGTCGACCTGTGAGACACCGCGCAGAAGGCTGAAACGTTTGCCCCTCATATCGTCGCCATCGTCGTCGCAGTCGTCGATGTAGTAGACCTCGGGGATTGGAATATGGCGGCGTCGGACTGGCTCGCATTCGAGCTGCCACGAGGCTGGATCTATAGAGAATTCGGCATGAGCAGACTTGAGAAAGGCCTTGACGACGAGCAGGAAAATCTCGTACGGAAGCTTGGGTAGCTCTGGCGTTGATACCGCGGTATGGGAACCCGAAGCTGAGTCGTCGGAAAGGTTGAACATGGCAATTATATTGACCAACGTGGGTGCGTTGGAGTGATGGACTTTCATGGATGGGTTCAAAGTCAATAGATGTGTAGCAGAGCCGTGAGGGGTTTGTCAACTGTCCACTGCGACTATGAGATCTGATGAACGGCATCGGAATTTTTGATATTTGGGGCACATACGGAGGTTTAGTAATTTTCGTTTCCTTCTGGAGTAAAGAAGTCTTCGTTTAGATTGGGCAAAGATTAGCTTTCCTGTGACACGGACCCGGCGGAGCCATTCTCTTACTCAGAAGCAGAATCAAGTCGTCACGAAAAGCGAGATAAGTCTTTCAAGGCAGCTTCGTCAATTCAAAAGTCGGAATTTTCTGATAACCTGCGTCAAAATGAAAAGGTTAGGCTACCTTGATGGAATCACGCCACCATGAAATCCCCCCTATCGACGCCAGCTGGCTCCGTGTGCTCAAGGCTTGTTTCACCCAACAAGAAAACGAGTGAAGCTGTCTTCTATATAGTGTCTTCAGACTGGATTCAGCTTTACCTAGTACCCATTCAAAATCGCCAGTGTCCCTGTATAATGCTCCCAAGGTATCAAACGAGGCGTGTCCGCGCCAATTTGTTTATTGCCACATTGTCATCGATTTGGAGGGCTGGAAAAGACGCAGAGAAACCTTGTAACGTCGTCTGTGTTCAACACCACATCACTGTGATAGACTCGTGACTTGGCAGTTGCTATTTAGCTTCAAGCCAACCAGATATCACCAAATGCCTCCTGTAGCCAACCCAGAAACCTCAAAGGCAGAAATTCTCCTCCCCGAACGAACCTTGATACCACCAACCCAACAATACCCCATCATCCGATTCCGCAGCCGTCTCCCCAGATCTCCCCCCTTATCCGAGAAACTTATCCGACAGAGAGACAGACTTCCAACGCCATCCCATCGCCTTCCAACAAACCTGACCATGCCGAGCCCCCCTTCATGATGGAAGCGTTATCATTCCGATATCTATGCAATGCATTCAGCCACCAACCACCTTTCCCACCCACCCCTCTCAGCGTTCATCTCTCGAAATTTCGAAGCACGTCATTTGACAAGCTTTTATGCCGAAACTTCCTCATTACAGACACAGAAATGAACCCTCTCTATCATCCCGTTTCTCACATTGAAGCTCTTGATAGGACCCTGATTGTGGGGAAAAGACAGGACACACCAGACAATCTCAAACTCCTGCCATCTCATCCTATTCCAACGCCCAAAAACACACTCGCTTTATGACCAATTCCCAAGCTCATCACATCTCGCCCAAAGACACCAAATCAACTCAGTTAAAGGAGTATTATTATCAGAAATCAGTAAACCCATCTAGATTCCTAACGCCGTAAACCAAGAGAACCCTCAGGTGGAGTTTCATCTGTGTGCTCTGTGCTCTGTGCTCTGTGCAGCGTCTGTGTAATACTCAACGATGGACAGACAGACATCCCAGTTCAATAACGCAAAAAAAAAAAAAAAAAAAAAAAAAAACCATGCCGTCCAAGTTGAATCGGACCAATAGCGAATAGTGGTGATTACCGTCTTCCTGAAAAAGACTCTCGTCCACCTTGTCTTTCTCCTAATATGTTGTCTGTGCACCCTTTCTGTTCTCATCTAATAAACAAAACCACAGCCCAAAAAAGAATGCAACCTCAACCCGTGCAATGTTGGTAATGTCATGCCGTCGGCCGTTAAAACATGAAAAATAATAAAAAGGGGGCGACGAATCGGTTTCTCCTGATCCTCGGACGGAACCCCCCAAAAAGCAAATGGTAAGCATGTAATATGCACCAGCCGGACCCCGCCCCTCGGGGAATCTCACATCATCCCGTCAAAGGAGAACGCACACACACACACAACCAAATACTGTCTAGATGATGTTTGCCTAGAGCAGTAACCCTACACGATGCCAGTCAAGTCCCACTCCCCCTTCTGCGCCCTCGCGAGCACCTCACGCCCCTTCTCGGTCAGCTGCGGCTTGCCCTCGTTGCCGACGGCCTGCTCGAAGAAGACGGGCTTGAAGACCTCGCCGGTGCGCTCCCGCTCGCGCGCCTTCTCGCGCTGGTTCTCCTCGAGCTCGACCTTGACCGTCGTCGCCTTGGAGAACTGCTTCGCGTGGATTGCTTCCGTGACGCCGGACCACAGCTGGATCGACTCGTTCGGGAGCTGCTTCTCGGCGGGGGGGATGACCTTGGGCGCGACGTTGAGGGGGCCCAGGTCGATGATGGTGTAGCGGGCTTCCGGGGGATGCGAATCCTGCGGGACAAAGTTAGTTTTCGGAGAGGCGAAAGGGAAAGAGGAAGAGGATTTGGTTACCATCGGCTTAGGACCCAATGTGAACATGACCTTTTCGCGCCAGGGACCACCCAGACGGGCGACGATGTCCGCCTCGGGGACATCCTTGATGTTCACCTTGTCATCGTTTTCGGGGTCGTAGCGGAAGATAATGCCCTCGACGCGGTTCGTGGAGCGGCCTAGCCAGCCAGCCTCGACGTAGTTCAGGATCGTCTTAAGCTTGGTCTGCGGACACGTAATGTACGCCATCTCGCTGACGCTGACGGTCAGTGTGCCTCTCAGGATGCCGCCGAGGTGCGCGGCCGGATGGGTCAGACGGTAGGTCTCGCCATCGCGGTTGTCGAGCGTGACGAAGATACCGAGGTTGTGCTCGCCGGGCAGGACGCGGATGCTGGTGCCGGTGAACTTTGCCGTGATCTGGTCGAAGCCGCGGGCGGACAGACCACGCTCGGGACAGCTGATTGTGAAGGCGCTCACGGGCGGGTGGTGGGAGGTCTGCTCGGTGAGGTAGGATACGAGGACGGGCTTGCTGTCCGGCATTTGGGCGCCGAGCGGGGGTACGGACAGCGAAACGGCGGAGGCATTCTTGTCGCCCTTTGCAGACTTCAAGCTCGAGGAGCTGCTGGTGGTTCCACTTCCGGTCTTGAGGGCTGTGGTGTTGATCTTGGGCGCGTTGTTCTCCGTCTCCCAGTTACACTGCCGGGCAGCTGTTAGCATCGCGAGTCATGGAAGCTGCGTGGCGCATAACTATCGCGAGAAAAGGCCAGCACTCACCCTGAAAAACTCTCCCAGGCACGAGTTGTATGGTTTGCAGGGCTTGCCCTTTGCGTACTTGAGGTCCTTGGTGAACCAGAAGCGGCAGACCTCGAGCATGCGGTCGAGGGGCTCGTCAGAGGTGCCGATGGCGACGAAGGCGTTAGGCGCATCCAGATATGTCCAATATTCGAGATTCGGTGTCGGCTCGAGGAGTTGGGAGGGGAGGGAGAAGCGGACGGCAGCCAGGTCGGCGACGCCAATGAACCTGGATGGATAGTTGAAGCGGTTAGCAAATGTTCTCGACTCAATAAAGTTCCCTTTCTGGCGATGATGCGACTCTGCGACTCTGAAGCCTCCGCTCGCGTCGATCATCCGCCATGGCAACCCCGCCCGTGGCCACGACAGACGCTGTTGAAACCGAAGCTCTCTTGTCCCCCCCTCCTCCTCGTTGCGTGCGGCGCAAGGCGCAGAGACAGACCGCCACATCAGCTGCGGGTGGGCTTTTTGCTACTCACTTCTTCAGAATACCGATGAAGGTCTTCAGCTTGGAGCCGTCGCTCTGGGTCTCCTCGGGAGCATCGTGGGTAGCTGCGGGAGCCATGGTTGTTGGTGATCTGTCGGATTTCGGGTTGTGGCGATGACGGACGATGACGACGGTTCCTCGGTTTCTTTGGTGGCTCTCTAAAAATGCCCAGGCTCGAAAAAAGCGGCTTGCTGCGAGATAAGGTGGGGGGCCGAGAACGGCTGGCGGGGGGGTATTCCTTTTGGCTTAGAGTGGCCGGGTTCAGAGACCACAAAGGCGGCGGGCAACGATGACGGGGGACGACGACGACGACGACGAACACGCAAGAAGCTGTTCGCTGCTGCTGCTGCTTCTTCTTCTCGTCACTTTTTTCTTTCTGTCGTCGCGGGCTTCCGACAAGGAGCTTTCAGGATGTGTTTTCCTTCTGGAACAGAAGAGGACACCGCGTATGGAAATCTTTCGACGCCGGGTCAAAGGTGAGGCAAGGCAGCGTTCCGTTTCGTTTCAGTCGTCCGACTCGTGCGCGGCGCGGATATCCGACAGGCGAGGATAAGGCCGACTGGGAGAAGAAATATGCTGTCCACGGGAGGAGGGAGTAGAAAGGTAGAGATTCGGAAAACCAAAGAAATGAAAAGTAAAAGCGGTGGATGGTCTCTTGTCCAGCAGCAGGCGGCAGCAGGGCGGTGGGATAAAGGGAAGAAGATCAGAGAGCAAGTACACTGCAAGAGATGATGCAGATGCAGCGCGTAAAAAAAAGGTTCCAGGCCATGGAGGTACACGTAATGCCGTAAGAGGTATGAGATGCAAGGCCAAACGCAGAGGAGATACTTTGAGGTACCTTGCCTTACGGACCGAGTCGACCACCTCAGAGCCCAGAAGGCACACAGTCACAGCAGCTTCCCCCAGTGCGATGCGCATCACACCCGGAGCGGGAAGCTGCTGAGGGACAGGAGACGGCGCTAAGGCTGTCCACGGGTAGTTACCTAGGTAGGAATGCTAGGTAGGTCAGGTAAGGTGATGATGGCGGGGAGGGGCTGAGGTGGGAGGTACCTTGGCGTACAGTGTCACTGTCAGCCGAGTGACGTGCGCCGGTGCTCGCAGCAGCCACGCAAAGGCGCCTTCTCGACCTTTTCGGCGCATTCTTGGCGCGATCCGATAAGGCCTGGGCACTGTAGGTTTCAGATGGCCGCAATAGCCTGAGGTGCCATGGTGCCCTGAGGTGCGCTGATAACACCGACAGCCCCTCAGTGGCACCCAACTTTTGGGGACGATAAGAGCTTCGACACACTGTTTCCAACACGCGAGGGCCTTGCACCTCTGACTTTTCGCAACAAGTCAAGTCAGTTGCGAGATTGAGACTCAGTCGACTCTATCAAAGACATCTGCATCTGTCTCTAAGTCAGAAGATGAGAAATCAAATCTTATCAATCACAAGATGCAAAGCCCTTCAACGCAGTAAACAACTCACCTCCCCCCCCCCGTTTCCAACAACAGTGTGCAAACACACTTGCAAAACAACTCCTCCCATCTACCCGGAACAAGCACCTCCTCTCATCCCCAAAGCAGACTTGACCAGCAGACAGGCCCGGACCGAACACATGTGCCCTCTGAAAGTCTACAAAGCGCAAACCCACGACCTGGCCCCGACCTCTGGGCCGCCCGATACACCGGACATCGGCCAATCATCCGCGCACATGTCTAATCCAACCGTCTTCACAAGCTCGAAACACCTTGACTCAAAATCTCCGTGAGATGCGCACATGGCAGCAACGAGAGGCTGCGGCGGCACCTGCAACCTTCTTTTCTTCCTCTCCTGCGCGAAATGTGAAATGTCCCCATCTCATCGTGGGTAGGATTTTCCCCCTCCCCCGCCTCTCGTCTGGACCAGGTGACCATACTTTTCCTGTGTTGCTCTTGAGCTGTCCGTGTGTATGTGTATGTGTATGCGCATGTGTGTGGCTTCAGTCAGTCCTTCATCCCCCTCGCCTGCAGAAAGAACCCAACGTCCATGACAAAGAGCAACTTTATCACCGTCAAAGAAACACCCGCAATGAAAGACTTACCCCTCCTGCCCTGGGAAAGCAGTCTTTCACCAAGATAACTCCCCCGCTTTGTACTGTCGAAAGAGAGAGAGAAAGCCTCGCAGCCTCTCTCCTCTCTCCTCTTTCAACACCATCACCAAGCCACCACGACGAAACTCCGGCCCGGTCCCAACCCGACCCGACCCTGATCCTTCTTCCTCCTAGTGCACCGACAGCAAAAAGGTGTCACGAGCAAAAAGAGTTATTCCCTTACGCCGTATCCGCCGTCCTCGCAATGCGCGACGTACTCATTTCGCCTCCCGTTCCCCCCTTCCCCCTCTCATCGTCGTCCGTCGGCCTCCTTCAGACCGCACCCCGCCGCCGCCGCATGTCTCGTGACCGTTCCCTCGCCGGGCTTCTCCTGAAGCCATCACGAGACACACCACACTTCGACAGGGACGGCGTCGGCGGCTCTTTTGCATCTGCCCTAGGGCGTCTGCGAGCAGATCTTCAGGAACCCCCCCTCAACTCAGAATTCAGGGTCCTACCGGGGTCCCTTCCAAGGCCGCAACGGCATCCCGTCCCATCAAACTCATCAAACTCTTTTGCCCAGAGAATGAGAGATACTTTCCATGCCTCGTACCTCTAGTATCCTCATATCAGAGGGGACCCTCCATCCATCAATCCATCCAACGAGTCAAACCAAGAATAGCACTGAAAGGGGATATCCCCGTCCATCATGCTACCCTTCGTGCGTCTTTTGGGATCGGCGTCAAAAGTCAATGCTTTCACCCAAAAAAAAAAAAAAAAAAGGAACCCACCACCAACCACCACCACCACCACCTCCTCCACCTCGCATGGACCCCAATCATCAATCACCAATATCGCCAATATGCCTTCAACCAAGTCCTGATTGAGGCTGCGCCAGCCAACTTGCCATCAGAAATGCCCACTTGGTGTGTGCAGTACCTGCATTCGGCATTTTCCCACCGAACCCGGCTCTTCGTATTGCTCACCACCAACTGCCAACTTCAGGGTCCTTTCCCGCATGGGAATCTTGGAAGATCTGCATTCTGACCGTTATCCAGCATTCCAACTGACGGGCTCACCTGAAGCGTTGCATCGCCAGAAGGTCGCACCAGATATGCAGCAAGCAAGCCACCGAGCCGGACAAGCTTCAACGGGGGCCCCCGCCCAATAAGCACCGCCATCTTCAAATCTCCTCGACGGAGGACACTCGTGGAGTCAGTCTCGCGACCCCCAAACATCTGGTGAGAGAGCCGCCCCAAAGTCCCCCCGACCCCCTCCATCCATTCCCCTGTGGCCCCGGGCAGCCGGCCGAACACGAGCGATCAACGGGTGGCAAAGCCTCCGTTGTAGACGGAGCCCAGGGCCCGGTGCAATGGCATCACGGCCCTCCTTGCCCAATCCAAATGCCGCTTCTTCGAGACGTACGTCGGACATGCGTCTCGGGGAACCGGGGTTCATCACACCCACCGCAACGTGTCGACCCCCTTTTTCCCACACTTCACCATGCGTCCCAAGTTCCTGTTCCAGTCAGTTCCAACGTTGCCCTTCCGGCGGCCAGCGTGGCAGCGTCTCCCCATGTCCGACATCTGCAAAAATCGTACGCAAATAACGTCAGTGCCTCCCCTCCACTGCCTCCAGGTCTCCCTTCTCACCCCCCAATCGTGGCTCAGCCCTCTATAAATATCAATATTCAATGATTTTCCCAGGGGACCCGCGATCAAGGGTTCCATCCACGGATTCCCACCATCGAGAAACCTACCTCTCCCAGCAATGATCATCGCCAAAATTTCCCTTCCCGCCTTCCTCAATTGCCAACAGCCCATCATCAAACCCAAAGCTCCCCTTCGAACCCTTGCGTGCCCGTCCCCTTCGCCAACCTTGATTATGGTAATCGGTCAGGGACCAATCTGCCATCTACTCGTGCGCCGCCGTGCGGCCCCCCCTTCTCCGAACAAGAATCCCGGGTTGCCCCCGCAAGACCCACGCAGATGGAAGTCCCATCGAAGATTTTTCTGCCCTCCTTCCCAACTCCTATCCCTCCCCTACCATCGCCAATGACCTCATGATCGACAAAACACATGCTGTCTTGGGCAACCGTGGCCGTCAATAATCGCTGCATCCCGGCGGCGTCGATGGAGACCCTTTTAAAGGTATTAAGTGTTCCTAGGGCAAATCCACCAACAAAACCCTGATCCTGGTGATTCCCAGGGCGCGCGCACGCGGGATGCTCTCCGATGGCCACTGAGAATGCCGGGCCACCACGAGAGTAACGGCAAACAAGCCCGCTTGCGAGAGGGACAAAGATCCAAAAACCCAGTGACCCGACCTCCGGCAAATTGCACCGTGGCTGGGCGGAGATCTAGCGGAACCTTGTGCTGCTTCCTTCTCACTTTGTCTCCCTACCCCCGCCGGTAGCCCCCGGTGAGTCTTGAGATGAAGCTTGCCGTTGCCGTGTGTCGTTGGTGAGCATCAACTCTGTACCTGCGCAGTATGCACAGTTTTTGCCGCCGTTAGTGCTGCAACCTCCGCCTGGCTACCCTCGTCGACCGGCCGCGCTTACAAAGTTAACCCTAAGCGTCGTCATTTCCTAGACCCGAGCAGAGGGCACGTCCCGGGGTCAACGACAACGGCCCCTTCCATGTCCCGGCACAGGGCATCTTTCTGCCCCGGGCCTCCGACTGCAACGTGAGGTGGACCTCAACCCAAGCAGGTGAACTCAACCGTGGTTGCCCTGATGCATATTGACGAAAGCTTCTCATCACCGGGCGCGCTTGATGGCAACCTCGTGTCTCCACCGCCCGAGATGCGTACACCTCCGGAGGCGGGTCTCAAGTCCCGAGAAGCGTGCCTCCAATGTTTCCACACTGCCATCGTACGGTAAGATTGGGATTAAGCTGCAGGGCAACAGGCCAGGGCATGCATCCCATTGAAAGCTGTTGACTGAGGCTGTCTTTCCCATCGAGATGGTGTTTCCGGTTCAAGCTATGCCCACTGACTCATGCCAGTGCGTCGAAGCGAACTTTGACA